TCACCTTTTGGACAGGTTTGAGCTTGAAAACAAAGGGCCATGAGGCCCTGAGGGTTGCTTCACCTGTATATAGGCCCCCCAGAGAAGGGCCCAGTTTAAAACCCAAGGGCTTTTATTTGAAACCAATCTTTGGAAGACACCTATTTAGAAAGATTTTTTTATGATGTTTTTACTAAACATATAATGTAAAAAACAATTTGACCTTTTGCATTACTTCCCCACCCCCCCCCCCAGGCAGGGCCCAATTTTAAACCCAAGGGGCTTTTATTTGAACAAATTGGTAAACCCACAAAATATCATGTTTCAGGTTATAACATCAAAACATCTTACCTCTTCAGCTCATTTGGGTTTTTTTAAAAGAAGATTTTTTAAAGTTTTTTATACACAATAAGGAAAATCAATGACACCTCTGGAGGAGGCCCAGTTTTGACCCCAGGACTTTTATTTTGAACCTCCAACTTTTGTAGGACACTTTACTAGAATAGTTTCATTACTTACCTATCTAAACTCTAGCTATTTGGGTTTTTTTTCAAAAAAAAGGTTTTTTTAAGTTTTTTGGTCATACACATACTAAAGGAAAAATCAATGACCCCCGGGAGGGGCCAATTTTGACCAAGGGCTTTATTTGAAAATCTTTGTAAGAACTCACTCTAGAAGATCTGTTTCCATTTAATATCCAAAAACTCTATCTATTTCTCTTTTTTTCAAAGAATTTTTTTTAAGTTTTTGCTTACACATATAAGGAAAAATCAATGACCCCCTGTTGGCGGGGCCAAATTTTGGACCCAGGGCTTTTATTTAAACCCAAACTTTAATTATTAAAAACTCTAGCTATTTGGTTTTTTTTAAAAGGCAAGATTTATAAGTTTTTTGTCAATTACACAATAAAAAATACATAAAAAATCAATGACCCCCGGGGCGGGCCCCAATTTTGGACCCCCCATGGCTTTTTATTTCAAAAACTTTTTGACACTCACTAGAAAATGTTTTCATGCTTAATATCTAAAATTTAGCTAATTTGGGTTTTTTAAAACTTATTTTTTAAGTTTTTGCAACTATACACATATAAGGGGAAAATCAATTTAACCCCCGAATTGCGAGGCAAATTTTGGGACCCAAGGGCTTTTATTTGAACAAACTTTGTTCAGACACTCACTAGGAAGATGTTTTCATTGCTTAATATCTAAAATTCTAGCTATTTGGGTTTTTCAAAGAAGATTTTTTAAGTTTTTGCCTATACACATTATAAGGGAAAATTTCAATGGACCCCCGGGGGGCGGGGCCAATTTTGATCCCAGGGCTTTTATTTTGAACAAACTTTGTAACACCCATTAGAAAATGTTTCATGCTATGATATCTTATAGCTCCTAGCTCTTTTGAGTTCTTTTAAAGAAGATTTTTAAGTTTTTATTATATTCCATTATAGGGAAAAACAATGGACCCCCTCCTCCCCCCGGGGTCGGGGCCAATTCTAACCCCAGGGCTTTTATTTGAACAAACTTGGGGTAGACAACTCAATTAAAGAAGATGTTTTTGCAAATTATCTTAGCTCTAGCTCTTTGGGTTCTTTTCTTAAGAAGATTTTTAAGTTTTTACTATATGCATATAGGGAAAATCAATTTGACCCCCTGGGCGCGGGCCAATTTTGACCCCAGGGCTTTTATTTTGAACAAACTTGGTAGCCCACTCACTGGAAAGAATTGTTTCATGCCAATATCTAAGGGCTCTAGCCTTCTTTGGTTTTTTTAAGAGAAATAATTTAAGTTTTTCTTCTTTCGGGTTTGCCATGGTAACCAGAGTTCTGCATGGAATTAAATTCTTTGAACAATTTTTAAAGGTGACCACCAAAGGAACATTCCTGTGAGGTTTGGATGAAATTGGCTTAGTGGTTTATGAGGAGATGTTATTTAAAGTAAAAGTTTACTGACGGACGCCGGACGAAAAGCGATCACAAAAGCTCACCAAGTCACTTTGTGACAGGTGAGCTAACAAAACCGGGAAATTTCCTGCTACATTTGAGTAATACACTTGTTCTAGTTTATAGATTTTAAGGTCAACCATGAATTGATGAATTATTTATGTGACTTTCATAAATGGAAAATCAAATACATGTAATTTAGGCCGTAGCGACTTAATATTCGCGGTTATTACAAATCCGCGAAAATGCCGACTTTGTGAAAAACGCGAAATATTGTATCCGCGAACATTACTAGGAGTACAGTAATAAGTAAGTATTATGAAATTATGAATTAACTAGAAGGGTTTTTGTCACAAAAACATATTATTTAGCTTATCTATATTCCCAGAAAAAATGCCTGATTTAGCCATTTCATATCCTAAAAAATAAATACATTCATGATTAAGCCTTTTTATATTTTTTTTAAATACCTGATTTAGCCTATTAATTTTCCATAAAACATACCTGTTTTATCCTTTTCATATTCTATATACATACTAGATTTAGCATTTCACATTCTTTTCAACAAACCTGACTGCGCCTTTTCACATTCTGTATAACATTCCAGATTAAGCTTTTTCATATTCTATATAACATATACCTAAATTAGCTTTTTCATATTCTATATAAGATACCTGATTAAGCCTTTATTATATTCTATATAACATACCCCATTTAGCCTTTTTCACGTTCTTTTGATAACATACCTGATTTAGCCTTTTCTTTTTCCATATAACATACCTGATTTTGCCTTTTCATATTATATACTACTCAAAAATTTGCAAAGGATCACTTTTTCTACAGTGTGTTAGTTTTGTATATTTGTAATACATGTGAAAATTTATTAAAAAGAATTAAATATAATTAGTAAGGAATTGATTTTTATGAAATTAATGACAATGCAAGTATTCCTTGACGTGTGCCTGTTGTGGAAAGAGTGAGCTGGACGAAAATCAACATTTTGGAGATCACAGTGGAATAAAACTAGAACTGTGTCCAAAGGACACGGATGCCCCCTCTTACAACATATAATGGTATATAGTGAAAAAATCAACAAAGGGCCATAATTCAGTTAAATTTGGTTGCAGCAAAAATTCCTTCCTTTACTAACATCTACACATTAAGTTTTTCATCCTGCGAAGTTAAGCAAATCCTACCGTTCCGGTTTAGAGTAGTTGCGTTCACAAAATTTCTATAGCGTATATAGTGAAAAAAATCAAACAAAGGCCATAATTCTGTTAAATTTGGTTGCAGCAAAAATTCCTTCCTTTACTTACCATCTACATATTAAGGTTGTTCATCCCTGAAAGTTTAAGCAAAATCTGCCATCCGGTTTAAGTGAAGTTGCATTCACAAGATTTCGCGACGTACGGACAGACGTACGGCGTGACGGACGGACAGGCGCAACGCTATATGCTCCCACTCTGTGGGGGCATAAAAATCTTGCAAATCAAAAATGTTATGAGTAGGATGTTTAACACAGAGTATGGGCATTGTTTGGTGTCTGTGGGCATTAATTACGGCCTGGTATCGCCGCCGCATGCTGCTAATGAGCCTGCGGACCTTGTGATGTGGAATCTGGGCCCATTCCTCTATGATTGCATGGCCAATCAATAACTGTCCATGTGACCCGAGTCTGCACCCATCTTGAATATGGCATTGTGTCAAGGAATGCGAATTGCTGGCCTCTATGACCTCAACCCAGCATCAGGCCCCCTTTTTACAGTTTGTGTGCTTACACCGACACCAGTTGCATTCTGGAAGTCTTTACGTAAGGTGGTAGCATTTGAAAATCGTTGGCGCCTGGCCTGAAGGACAATAAATAGGTAGTGGGCTTGAGTCGTTGAACATTTCCGACCTAAGACGTGGCCCTGCAAGACATTTACAGTATTTTGAAATCGGTTCCACATCCTGGAGACAACGCTCTGGGATACCCCAAGGACATGGGCAACATGCCTTTGAGAACGACTATCGATTTGCCATAGTTTGTTAATTTCGAACACAGTTTTACAACAAGAGCCCGGTTTGAGCCGGGTGATGCTCCCCGAATAGGTTTTGGACACCGGAAAGTACACCTCTTGTAGTTTCAGAGTTATGTCCCTGGAAAAAGTTCAAAGTGCAATAATTCCAAAATTGGGCATAGCAGAATAATTGTTCTTTGCACTGCTCTTCTAATCAATGTTTGATCTATCAACCTACAAAGTTTCTTGATGATACTCTTATTGATTTCCGATTAATGTCCTGGACAAAACTTCAAAAAGTAAAAATAAACAAAGGGCAATAACTCCAGAATAAGGCAAAGGCAGTGTTATGATTCTTGTGCACTGCACATTTACCAATTGATATATAGTCTTACCTACAAAGTTTCATGTTGATATCTCTTATAGTTTTACAGCTTATGTCCTGGGACAAGATTTTTCTAAAAGGGGAGATAATTCAAAAAGAGACTTAACAGAGTTATGGTTCTTTTGCACTGCACAACTTCTCAATAAGATCTATCTACCTCTGATATCTTCTTATAGTTTTAAGAGTTATGTTCAGGAATTTAAAAAAAATTTTTCCCCAAAGGGGTTTTTCAAAGTTCAAAGTATGTTAAAATTAACAAAGGGCAATAACTCCAAAATTGGACAAAAAGAGTTATTCGTTTCTTCTGCACTGCACATCTACCATTGAGATCTATTCACCTACAAAGTTTCATGTTGATATCTCTTATAGTTTTAGAGTTATGCCCTGAACAAGATTTTTCTATAAGGGGAGAAATATTTCAAAAAACCAGGCAAAATAGAGTTTATGATTCTTTGAAACTGCACTCCCCTCGATGCCCTCTACCACTGTATGAAGTTTCAACAAATTACCTCCAAGGGTTTTCAAGTTATGCTCCGGACAAGACAAACGGACGACGGACGGACAGAGACAAAGGGGCCGACTATGCTCCGGACAAGACAAAAACAAAACACAAAAATACAACGGACGGGACGGACCAATTTTTCAGGTTTATTGAGCTATTTCTATTGTTCTTTTCTTTTTGTTTCCTTGTGGCTAACTATTGTTTCCTTATGAGCTAACTATTATTTACGGAATGAAGTCTTTTGTTCCCTTTTGTTCCAGTGTACTGTTAGTTAGCTCATATACCTGAAATGTTTGTGCGGACGGACAGACGGACGTTCCAACATTTTGGGTTTAGGGGCTATTTTCTTTGTTATTTCTTTGTTATCTTAAGGGCTACTAGCCCCTAAACCCTTTGATCACGGAATGATCTATTGTTCTCTTTTGTTTTCTTTACTGTTATAAAGCCCCTAAACCAAAATGTTTGCTCGGACAGACGGACAAGGCGCCGACTATATGCTCCCCCGAAATTTTTTGGGGAGCATAATAAAACCAGAAGTCTTGCTGCTTGTACACGTTTAAGTGAAAGCACATGGCCATATAACACAAAATTTCCATGGGTATGCTTTTCCACATGCTTATCGTGCAAGGTTTAACAAATTGATTACTCATGTACACGATTAGGAGGTCCCTGTACATGTGTATCGTTAGCGGAAAAAATATTTTATTATGATAATAATAATTTTGATGATAATAGGACTGAAATGTGCAATGTCAAAAAGGTGATCCTTAGAAACTTTTGAGTTGTATATATAACATACCTGATTTAGCCTTTTCATTTTGTATATAACAAACCTGATTAAGCCTTTTCATATTCTATATTACATACCTTTTTAAGCCTTTTTCCTATTGTATAAAACATTCCTGATTTCACCTTTTCATATTCTATATAACATACCTGATTTCGCCTTTTTTATATTTACAACATACCTGATTTAGTCTTTTCATTTTCTATACAACATACCTGATTTAGTCTTTTCATTTTCCAACTGTTTTTGTTGAGGAGAAACTTCTACCTTGAGTCTTTTTATCTCCTAAAACATAAAATATATGATTTTCTTCATCAGGTCCGTCTGAACTGTCATTTCATAACTCAATTAAATTTACGTACAAAATAGATTTTAACCAGGCAAATTTGCTTGATACACATATCACAACAGATAAGGAAGGTCGTCTTTACACCACAATATATACAAAAGGGACTGACGCTGTAATTCACTCATATAAAGATTGGTTGAAATCCCATCAGAGGTTTGACCTGTGAAGACCAGAAAAGAGTTAAAGACTTTTCTATTTTTGGCTCTGTCGGCCATTTTGGCAGTTATGCACACAACTAGGGATGGTTCTGATCACTCCAGTTAAGTTTGGTTGAAATCCCACCAGTAGTTTGACCTGTGAAAGGCAGACAAGCTTAATGCGGACGGACAACCAGACGGAGAACAGAAGGACAGACAGCGAAGGCGAAACAATATGCCTCCAATAAATTTTTGGAGACATAATTACAAAGCTTGCTAACCTTATGGTGTGCCTAATTTAAGATTATAATACAAGCATTAATGTTATCTTAGAACCACGGTATTATGTAATACACATACTGGTTGATCAACCTGAAACAAACAGTAAAACATGTACCGGTATATCAACCGGAAACAAACAGTAAAACATGTACCGGTATAGCAACCGGAAACAAACAGTAAAACATGTACCAGTATATCAACCAGAAACAAACAGTAATACATGTACCAGTATATCAACTCAAAACAAACAGTAATACATGTACTAGTATATCAACCGGAAACAAGCTGTAATACATTTGTTTGTTTATTTCATTTTTCGCCTTTTCCCAACAGTATTTCAGTCATATAGGCGTGCGGGTAGTTTCCTAACCATCGTTCCTGGAGAGTTACACCAGTACTAGACTACCACTAAATTCCTCCGTGCTAACTTACCAAAGCATCTCCTGGGGTCGAACACAAACCAGTGAGGAAACTGGATAAGAAGTCATTGACTCTATCCCCTCGACCACAGTAAGCTGAAATTCATGTACTGATATATCAACCAGAAACAAACAGTAATACATGTGCTGATATACAAATGTATATCAACCAGAAACAAACAGTTATACATGTACCATATATCAACCAGAAACAGTCAAAAAATGTACCGTGTATCAACCGGAAACAAACAATTGAACACATATACCATATATCAACTGGAATCAAACAGTAACACATATAACATAACTTATATCAACCGGAAACAAACAGTGATGCATGTACTGGTAAAGCAACCGGCAACAAAACAGTAAACGATATACAGGTATTTCAACCAGAATCAATCAGTAATAGATATATACCAGTATATCAACCGGAAACAAACATTAACACATGTACCGTTTATCAAGCGGAAACAAACAGTAATAGATATATACCAGTATATCAACCGGAAACAAACATTAACACATATACCGTTTATCAAGCGGAAACAAACAGTAACGCATGTACTGGTATAGCAACCGGAAACAAACAGTAATACATGTACTGGTATATCAAAGGGAAACAATCAATTGAACACATTCTACCTCTTTTTGCTCTGTCTCAAGAACAGTAATTTTTCTTTTCATCTCTGTACGTTCTTTCTCAGCTTCCAACACCTGTGCTTTTAGTTCAGTAAATTTATGTTTGAGCTCCTCATATTCCTCTTTTGTTGCAGCATTTTCTTTGATTTGAGTCAGAATTTCTTTAAAGTCTTCAGTGGTAATAATAAATTCCTTCTTCTTCAGCTTATAACAAGAAACAATTTTCAAATGTAGCTGCTATTTGATATAAAATATTTATAACATATCATATACAAGAGCTGTCGGTAGGACAGCAACGCTCGACTATTCTTAGTGCTTGATAGTAAAAAAAAAACTGCTTGATACAGTTACAGTACAGATAACGAGGAATATGCAAATTTCTGCGAGTATCAAGTAATCTCAAAAAACGTGACTCCGAGTGGATTATAAATTTCTCGTACACAAAAGAGTGACTCCGCGTCGACAACGAGTGACATTTAAGTCCACGGGACTCCGTGAATCTCCGAGCCAAAAAGAGTGACACACAGTGACAAAAACTTATGTTTTCTTTAATCACTGTCGCAGTGATTTAATAGGACTAGAGACATTTAAAGATTAATGAAGTTTATATAATCTGAACTATTCTTATTTCATAAAGAAGTATACAAAAAAGTTGGTCCGTTATTATATGTTTTTTTTTAAATCGTTTTTTGTTTTTGATAGAATTTCAGGTTCCTGTGGTTATTGCTACTGACCGAATTAATCGGGATAAAAATAAACTTGATGACGCTTACAGTAGTGTTTTTTCTAATCAAATGTACCTTTCAACTGTTTCACGGTAAATTGAAAACAACAACGGTAAAAATCACCTTTATTTTTAAATCGTAATCTAAAATGAAATGTAAAATGAGATTGCACTTGCATTTATTTACACCAGCTAGACACCGACATGGAGTTACGCGGTAATTCTCTCTCGGAGTCACATGCTCTTTTTTTCGTCTCGGAGTCATTCTCACCATAAGTTTCTCACGCGGAGTCACTCGTTTTTATGGACAAATACTCTCGCGGAGTTGCGAGAGGATTCCTCGATCCTCCGAGGATTTTGCATATTCCTCGTTATCTGCACTGTACCACCTCCTGTTTACAGGTTGGGGTCATAATGGTGAACAAGTGTTCAAAGTTTCAAAGCCATATGTCAATGGACTTTGAAAATATTTGAACTATTACAAAAACTTTAACGTAAATTCTAAGTCGAAAAAGGGGCACAATTCTGTCAAAATGCTTGATAGAGTTACCTCCTCCTGTCTACAGGTTGGGGTCATGATGGTGAACAAGTGTGCAAAGTTTCAAAGCCATATGTCAATGGACTTTGAAAATATTTGAACTATTACAAAAACTTTAACGTAAATTCTAAGTCGAAAAAGGGGCATAATTCTGTCAAAATGCTTGATAGAGTTACCTTCTCCTGTCTACAGGTTGGAGTCATGATGGTGAACAAGTGTGCAAAGTTTCAAAGCCACATGTCAATGGACTTTGAAAATATTTGAACTATTACAAAAACTTTAACATAAGTGGTTACGCCGACGCAGACGCTCGGGTGACTACAATAGCTCTACTTATTCTTATCGCATAGTCGAGCTAATAAGGTCAAACTTTATATTTCAAAATAATCTCAATTTTTACTCTTATACTTTGTTACGACTTCTAAAATCAAGGCAGGATTTATCGTCAAATTTTTCTATTTTCATTTATTTCATCTTTTACCTAATATTTACAAATAAAGATATGTATCAATATAAGTAAATTTAGGGCAGTTGTTTTAATGAAACAAATTCAAGCTCTTTTTTCTATTATCATAAAATTTACCATGAATTAATAGGTGAGCATATTTTAATTATTATAACTTAAGATTTCAAACTTATAATATATTATGTACACTTACATCTTGGAGTTTCCCGACAGCTTGCTGTGCATCTTGTCGATGTACAAGTTCTTTACCATCTTGTAGAACAGCTATCATGTCATCGATATAACAATTAGCCTTGCTCTCCTCTAGCTCCATACTGCTAGAGTGAAAAATCTCATTTCGGTACTGCCGTACCTAATATACAGAAAACAAATAATACAACATTCACATAAATACAGTGTTCAGCAATGAGACTAAACACAATTCCTAAGTTGAGAATTAAAACTGTAAATAAGGAGTTACTTTAAAGTACTTACCATAATAATCATTATTATTATTGTGTTTAAACTGCAGATTATATAAAAGCAAATGGAATAGAAATGGTTTTTGATAAATTTTATAATTATTTTACTGAAGTTATGGTATTTACGTGTTGCATTTACTTATAAAGCACAAATAACCTACTTCTGTACATTTTACAGTGAGGCTTAAAATAGAAATAGTTTTTGTTTCCTTCCCACAAAAATAAGAGCTAGCGAAAAGATTGTATTGCTGAAATATATTTAAGAATACAACTTTATGCGTAACAATTTTGAATCATTATTCATTTGTTGCAAATTGTTTCTCTGGCAAAATTAAACTGCATTAACCTCATAGTTATATATAATTTCATCTTAGTGCGGTAATGGGTAAACTCTTATAAAAATTCAACTAGAACTATCACTAAATGTGATTAATACCCCCGCAAGACTACTTCGGAAATGAGGATGTTACTAGTAACAGAATACCTTGTTAAACAATTGAAATACATTTATGGTTGTGGGCAATTAAAGATAGTTGTAGTTCTTGTATATTGCATTTCCTTTCAATGTGGTTGGCCATTGATGAAGTTTTATTGAATTACTCTGCAATAAGTCCAGAAAGACAAGGAAAAGGAAAAAAGGGCAATAACTCTATAAATACTGAAGATGGAGTTATGGTTATTGAACACTGCACTTCCTCTCATTGCACTTGACCATTGTATGAAGTTGTATTGAATTCCAACTACAAGTTTTCAAGTTATGCACAGGACAACAAAGTAACAAACTGTAATTAGTCAAAATAGAGTTATGGTTCATGTGTACTGTACTTCATCTCACTGCCCTTGACCATTGTATGAAGTCTCATTGAATTCCAACCATTAATCTTCAAGTTATGCACTGGACAATAAAAAGTTACAAAGGGCAAAAACTTTAAGATAAGTCCAGAAAGAGTTATGATTTCTGCACACAGTGCTTCCTCTCTATATACTTGACCATTATATGAAATAGTATTGAATTCCAACTAGTAGTTTTCAAGTTATGCTCTGGACAAGAAAAAAGTAATGGAAAAGCAACAAAGGGCAATAACTCTATAATTTCTCTGGACAGAGTTATAGTTCTTGTGCACTGCACTTCCTCTTATTGTGCTTGATCATTGTATCAAGTTTTTTTTTAATTCCAACCAGTACGTTTTAGGTTATGCTCTGGACAAGGAAAAGTATCAAAGGGCAATAACTCGGTAATTTGTCAAAATGGTGTTATGGTTCTTGTGCACTGCACTTCCTCTTAATGTGCTTGACAACTGTATGAAGTTGTATTGAATTCCAACCAGTAGTTTTCAAGTAATGGTCCGAACAAGGAAAAGTAACAAAGGGCGATAACTCTGTAATTAGTCAAGATGAAGTTACGGTTCTTGTGCACTTCACTTCCTCTAACTGTGCTTGACCATTGTATGAAATTATATTTAATTCCAACCATTTGTTTTCAAGCCATGCTCCGGACAAAAAAAGCAATGGAAAAGTAACAAAGGGCAGTAACTTTGTAATTAGTCAAGATGGAGTTATGGTTCTTGTGCACTGCACTTCCTCTCAATGTGCTTGACCATTGTATGAAGTTATATTGACTTCCAAACATTAGTTTTCAAGTTATGCTCCGGACAAGGAAAATACAACGGACCGCTGGACCGACCGACCAACCGACCACCGGGTGAGGCCGTCCTTAATAATATATATGTTTGCTATTGCCGACCCAGAGTTATAAAGAGTGGGTCGGTAGGTAGGCTTTTTTTTTTTTTTTATATATAATTTTTACTGAACATAAGTTAATACGCTTAGTACGTTGTAACAGATTGTGGAAATTTGGGCTACACTATCATCATCGGCAAAACTAACATGTTAAACACAGTCAAAAACAATAAAAAACATGTTCACTAGTAATCATAACATGAAATAAAAAAAATGACTATGTAGACATAAATTCAAGCATGGTCAAATTACCGATGTGATAAACTAATCCTGCGTTAAATTCACGTACGAACTGGAAAAATTATAGTGGATCACCAGGACATTTCGTTCTCATGGATGCATGATCATTACTCAATTTATTACAGGTCTGTAAAAAATAACACACGCAAGATTTGTCTCCTATAATTTCTGAATGGCGGATCGTTAAAATATTTCATTGTTAGTTCCCGAAAATTATCGCAGATTGTTGAAATTCCATAGCGCTAAAAGACACAAAAACACTCGCGCAAAAAAAGTAGCATCCATAGATAAAAGGAATATAATGTTTCCATTGTTAAATATAAATACAAAATTTACACACGAAATGACCTCTGACAAATGACTGGTCGGCTTCTTCTGAAGAATCTGTGAATCTTTGATGTTTACACACCTGTAGTTGTTGCCGAATCATCAAAGAAATGCCGACACTCAATCGACTTCCACCTCTTTTTTATATATCAGAAAAAAAAACTGTCATTTCTTTTTGTCAAGGAATGATTACACATGTTTAATTATTGCTCAAGTAAAAAATGTTGGATATTTATCGTGTCAATTATTGACATATTATTAATCGTAAGTGCATTTTGACATAGAGTTTAATTAGACGTATGTAAATCTGTGATTTTGATTGTGATATTTTATTTACATTTTTATGATCTTGAAGATATTTTGCAATAATTGTGTCTGCTATCAAAACAATAATGCATATAAAATGACCACAGCTTCCAAATAATTATTTTTTCGGTAAATTTTATGACAGAATCCCCGCTGCTACCAGAAATGTTTTATTGCATGGGCTAAGTATTTAATCTGTGTCGGCAGTCATAAACAAACAAACATGTACTCCAAAGCACATTAAAATTACCACATGGTAAACTAGTGACCATATAAATGCTTCACAAATATTCATTAACTGAACAAACATTATTTTTAATCCCGTTTCCACACCTTAATTTGATACGTTCTATTATTAGTTAATTTGACTTAATTGCCGCGCGCATGCAGTACTGCGTGACGTAAGGAAAATATCCTTCCCTGGTTGGTTGCTATTTATGTAAATACTTTAAATAGTAACGCACAGAATGCCCTCATGAATGATCACTCGTTACTTTACATATTAAATGTGTGATTTTCCTCCAATTTTATTTTTGTTTTCGAGGGAATTTTTTAGATGGAATGCCCTTGCTGATTTGGCGGAAATAAAAATAAATCTGATTTTTTTAAGCTGAAAAAAACTTTTGAGTCGGGGCATTTTCGCTGGGTCGGCCGGCAATAGCAAACAGATAATTTTTTAAGAGTGGCCTGACTCCTATATACCCCCCAAACTTCGTTTTTGGGGGGTATAATTAAGAGTTAACCAATAACTGCACTAAGGTAAAAATATTCTCTTTTGCTTTTATACTTAATTAACAGACTTAATATTACAGTAAAGCTTAATATTCTACAAAATTTAAAATAAACATAATAATTATACATGTAGTATACAAATCTAGTTACCTTTGAAAAAAGATTGTTTGGTCCGCTAACATTGCATCCAATGTGACTATGAAAGTACTTGTTATTTATGATAACATGAAGCAACCCAGTGCAATCTGTGTCGACTGCTGATGTCTTGTCCTTGTACCCAGGAGCATTTATAAAACATTTGCAAACCTCCCACGGTTCTGTCGACCACTGTTGGACAACACTGTTTTTCCAAAAAGGTGCCGGTGGTATTGATGCATGATACTGTATAATGCTGTCATAGATGGCACCACATATGTTGTTTGGACAGGGTCTCTTATTACTTGGAAAACAACAGTTACATTTATCTTGATTGAGGGGACATATCCCTTTTGAGACTCGGACATGATTTGGCTGGAGAGTTGTTATCTGACAGGCGCTACATGGTATGTTTGGTTGAGGAGTCTTTGTTTGTTGTATTTGGTTTATAATATATTTGTGCTGCTGTTTTCCTATGTCATCACAAAATGGCGCAAGTCCCTTTGTTAGATAACCCAAGCCTAGGCCTGCCTTAATCCACTGCCGGTATTTGTTGTTCTTTAAATGTATCTCATGTGCCATCTTGATTTCTAGAAAAAAAGAAATATTTTAAGCTACAATTTGTAAGAATCCAAGAAAAACCATTATTAACTATGACTGAACACAAACACTTGTATGCCATGTAAGCTGGTCCAAGTTAAGGGACCATGAACTTTGACTTACAATAAAGGCATTGCTACTATCACTAGAGGGCCCAGATTGCTCATCTTAGATTTGTTGTTAGAAATGGTTTTCACATAACCATAAATATCAATTTGGCTGAGGGCTAGCACTGGCAAATTTTTTCTTTGTTTTTTCTTTTATTTATGAATAAAGGTCAAGGTTAGTCTGGTCTATTTAAAAGTTTTGTCCAAGAGTTGTCTTGGCCAAGTGTGAAGACAATACACGAAAAACTTAAACAAAAGGGCCATGATGGCCCTGGATCGCTCACCTGACACAACCGCATCCAAGCAATGTCTTAAACAAGCATCATGGCCAAGTTTGATGACCAAACACGACCCATATTCAAACTTGACCTAGAAATAATCAAAACAACCTTCCTGACCAATTTTCAGGAACTTTAGATCAAAACTGCAGCCACTAGAGTGTTTAAAACATTTTTCTTTTTTTTAGCTCCTGTGACCTAGTTTTTGACCGGACATGACCAATCTTAGCACTTGTCCCAGAAATCATCAAAACAACCTTCCTGACAAATTTCCAGAATATTTGAATCAAAACTGCAGCCACTAGAGTGTAAACAAGCTTTTTCTATTTTTAGCTCATGTGACCTAGTTTTTGACCAGAGATGACCCATCTTCGGACTTGACCTAGAAATCATCAAAACAACCTTCCTGACAAATTTCCAGGATAGTTGGATGAAAACTGCAGCCACTAGAGTGTAAACAAGATTTTCCTTTTTTTAGCTCCTGTGACCTAGTTTTTGACCTGAAATTACCCATCTTCGAACATGACCTAGAAATCATAAAAACAACTTTCCTGACAAATTTCCAGAATATTTGAATCAAAACTGCAGCCACTAGAGTGTAAACAAGCTTTTTCTATTTTTAGCTCATGTGACCTAGTTTTTGACCTGAGATGACCCATCTTCGAACTTGACCTAGAAATCATCAAAACAACCTTACTGACAAATTTCCAGAATAGTTGGATGAAAACTGCAGCCACTAGACTGTTAAAAAGTTATTTATATTTTTAGCTCCTGTGACCTAGTTTTTAACCGGAGATGACCCATCTTCGAACTTGAACTAGAAATCATCAAACAACTTTACTGACAAATTTCAAGAATATTTGGATGAAAACTGCAGCCACTAGAGTGTTAACAAGCTTTTTCTATTTTTAGCTCCTGTGACCTAGTTTTTGACCTGAGATTACCCATCTTCGAACTTGACCTAGAAATCATCAAAACAACCTTCCTGACAAATTTCCAGAATGTTTGGATGAAAACTGCAGCAACTAGAGTGTTAAAAAGCTTTTTCTATTTTTAGCTCCTGTGACCTAGTTTTTAACCGGAGATGACCCAACTTCAAACTTGACCTAGAAATCATCAAAGCAACTTTACTGACAAATTTCAAGAATATTTGAATGAAAACTGCAGCCACTAGAGTGTTAACAAGCTTTTTCTATTTTTAGCTCCTGTGACCTAGTTTTTGACCGGAGATGACCCATCTTCGAACTTGACCTAGATATTATCAAAACAACCTTCCTGACAAATTTCCAGAATATTTGGATGAAAACTGCAGCCCCTAGAGTGTTAAAAAGCGTTTTCTATTTTTAGCTCCTGTGACCTAGTTTTTGACCGGAGATGACCCATCTTCGAACTTGACCTGGAAAACATCAAAACAACTTTCCTGACCAATTTCCAGAATATTTGGATGAAAACTGCAGCCACTAGAGTGTTAACAAGAATTTTTATTTTTAGCTCCTGTGACCTAGTTTTTGACCGGAGATGACCCATCTTCAAACTTGACCAACATATCATCAAAACAACCTTCCTGACAAATTTCCAGAATATTTAGATGAAAACTGCAGCCACTAGAGTGTTAACAAGCTTTTCTATTTTTAGTTCCTTTGACCTACTTTTTGACTTGAGATGACCCATCTTCAAACTTGACCTAGATATCATCAAAACAACCTTCCTGACAAATTTCCAGAATATTTGAATCAAAAATGCAGCCACTAGAGTGTTAACAAGCTTTTTCTATTTTGAGCTTCAGTGACCTAGTCTTTGACCTGAGATGACCCATCTTTGAACTTGACATAGAAATCATCAAATCAACTTTCCTGACAAATTTCCAGAATAGTTGGATGAAAACTGCAGCCACTAGAGTGTAAACAAGATTTTCCTTTTTTTAGCTCCTGTGACCTAGTTTTTGACCTGAGATGACCCATCTTCGAACATGACCTAGAAATCATCAAAACAACCTTCCTGACAAATTTCCAGAATAGTTGGATGAAAACTGCAGCCACTAGAGTGTTAACAAGTTATTTTTATTTTTAGCTCCTGTGACCTAGTTTTTGACCGGGGATGACCCATCTTCGAACTTGACCTAGAAATCCTCAAAACAACTTTTCTGACAAATTTCTAGAATATTTGGATGAAAACTGCAGCCCCTAGAGTGTTAACAAGCTTTTTCTATTTTTAGCTCCTGTTACCTAGTTTTTGACCGGAGATGACCCATCTTCGAACTTGACCTAGAAATCATAAAAACAACTTTCCTGACCAATTTCCAGAATATTAGGATGAAAACTGCAGCCCCTAGAGTGTTAACAAGCTTTTTCTATTTTTAGCTCTTGTGACCTAGTTTTTGACCGGAAATGACCCATCTTCGATCTTGACCTAGATATCATCAAAACAACCTTCCTGACAAATTTCCAGAATATTTGGATGAAAACTAAAACCACTAAAGTGTTAACAAGCTTTTTCTATTTTTAGCTCCTGTGACCTAGTTTTTGACCGGGGATGACCCATCTTCGATCTTGACCTAGATATCATCAAAACAACCTTCCTGACAAATTTCCAGAATATTTGGATGAAAACTGAAACCACTAGAGTGTTAACAAGCTTTTTCTTTTTTTAGCTCCTGTAACCTAGTTTTTGACCGGAGATGACCCATCTCCGAACTTGACCTAGATATCATTAAAACAACCTTCCTGACAAATTTCAAGAATATTTGGATGAAAACTGCAGCCTCTAGAGTGTTAAAAAGCTTTTTCTATTTTTAGCTCCTGTAACCTAGGTTTTGACCCGAGATAACCCATCTTCGAACTCGATCTGTATTTCATTGAAACAAACATTCTGACAAAGTTTGATGATGATCCAATCAAAACTGTGACTGCTAGACTGTTAACAACCCAATTGTTGACGATGAATGACGCAGGACGACGGACGCAGGACATAGCCCCATCATTATACCTCACCTTGACCACTTCGTGAAAATATGATCAAAAGTACAAGTTTGGGATGGCAACGGCAACAACAACAATAACGCCGACATAACTGTAACAATACCTCAGTTCTTATAGCTCTTTAGCAATATCTTAAAATCTACAAAAAGTACAACTCTTCAGTGTTTGCCATAATTACTTTCAGTTGTATAGTTAAGTATATCTCCAACTAGAACTATCACTAAATGTGATTAATACCCCCACAAGACTGCTTCGGAAATGAGGATGTTACTAGTAACAGAATATCTTGTAAAAGAATTGAAATATAGAGTTATGGTTGTGGGCAATTAAAGATAGTTGTGGTTCTTGTATATTGCATTTCCTTTCAATGTGGTTGGCCATTGACAAAGTTTTATTGAATTACTCTGTAATAAGTCCAGAAAGACAAAGAAAAGGAACAAAGGGCAATAACTCTATAAATACTGAAGATGGAGTTATAGTTCTTGTGCACTGCACTTCCTTTTTTTGTGCTTGACCATTGTATGAAGTTGTTTTGAATTTCAACCAGTACGTTTTAAGTTATGCTCCAGACAAGGAAAAGTATCAAAGGGCAGTAACTATGTATTTTGTCAAAATGGAGTTATGGCTCTTATGCACTGCACTTCCTTTTAATGTCCTTGACAACTGTATGAAGTTGTATTGAATTCCAAACAGTAGTTTTCAAGTTATGCTCTGGACAAGGAAAAGTAACAAAGGGCAATAACTCTGTAATTTGTCAAGATGGAGTTATGGTTCTTGTGCACTGCACTTCCTCTCAATGTGCTTGACCATTGTATGAAGTTATATTGAATTCCAAACATTAGTCTTCAAGTTATGCTCCGGACAAAAAAAAGCAAGGGAAAAGTAACAAAGGGTAGTAACTCTGTAATTAGTCAAGATGGAGTTATGGTTCTTGTGCACTGCACTTCCTCTCAATGTGCTTGACCATTGTATGAAGTTATAATGAATTCCAACAATTAGTCTTCAAGTTATACTCCGGACAAAAGAAAGCAATGGAAAAGTAACAAAGGGCAATAACTCTGTAATTACTTTAGATAGAGTTATGGTTCTTATGCACTGCACTTCCCCTTACTGTGTTTGACAATTGTGTGAAGTTGTTTTGAATTCCAACCAGTAATTTTCAAGTTATGCCTCGGACAAGGAAAAGTAACAAAGGGCAATAACTCTGTAATTAGTCAAGATAGAGTTATGGTTCTTGTGCACTGCACTTCCTCTCAATGTGCTTGACCATTGTATGTAGTTACATTGAATTCCAACCATTAGTCTTCAAGTTATGGTCCGGACAAAAGAAAGCAATGGAAAAGTAACAAAGGGCAATAACTCTGTAATTACTTTAGATAGAGTTATGGTTCTTGTGCACTGCACTTCCCCTTATAGTGTTTGACAATTGTATGAAGTTGTTTTGAATTCCAACCAGTAGTGTTCAAGTTATGCCCCGGACAAGGAAAAGCAACAAAGGGCAGTAACTCTGTAATTAGTCAAGATAGAGTTATGGTTCTTGTGCACTGCACTTCCTCTCAATGTGCTTGACCATTGTATGTAGTTATATTGAATTCCAACCATTAGTCTTCAAGTTATGGTCCGGACAAAAGAAAGCAATGGAAAAGTAACAAAGGGCAATAACTCTGTAATTACTTTAGATAGAGTTATGGTTCTTGTGCACTGCACTTCCCCTTATTGTGTTTGACAATTGTATGAAGTTGTTTTGAATTCCAACCAGTAGTTTTCAAGTTATGCCCCGGACAAGGAAAAGTAACAAAGGGCAATAACTCTGTAATTAGTCAAGATAGAGTTATGGTTCTTGTGCACTGCACTTCCTCTCAATGTGCTTGACCATTGTATGTAGTTATATTGAATTCCAACCATTAGTCTTCAAGTTATGGTCCGGACAAGGAAAATGCAACGGACGTCTGGACCGACCGACCGACCGACCGACCGCCCGACCGACCGACCAACCGACCACCGGGTGACTCCTATATACCCCCCCAAACTTTGTTTTTGGGGGTATAATAAGCGACATGATTCATAGGAAATATCTGAATATATACGACCCTCAATTTTCCTTTTGAATATAGAAGGACCGAAAGTTTCAGTTTCCATTTGAATAAAGAAGGACCAAAAGTTTGTGTTATTTAAGATATAATATGTCTGAGCTGTGTTGATAGGCTAAATATCACCGGTTTTGAGTTTTGGTGCCTTAAGGTTTATAGGCTAAATATCAACGGTTTTGAGTTTTGGTGCCTTAAGGTTTATAGGCTAAATATCACCGGTTTTGAGTTTTGGTGCCTTAAGGTTTATAGGCTAAATATCACCGGTTTTAAGTTTTGGTGCCTTAAGGTTTATAGGCTAAATATCAACAGTTTTGAGTTTTGGTGCCTTAAGGTTTATAGGCTAAATATCACCGGTTTTAAGTTTTGGTGCCTTAAGGTTTATAGGCTAAATATCACCGGTTTTGAGTTTTGGTGCCTAGGAATTGACCATGAAAAGAAAACAGTAAACATACTTATCTAATGGTTTGTTTATTATTCTAACACGCTTCGTACTATTTTCCTTTCAAACAGGTAGGACAATCAAGTATATTATAACACAATACATACTTTTATAAACAACATTAAAAACAAGTGCTTTCATGTTATGTGATGTCATATATGACGTCAATGAACTAAATGACGTCAGTGAAAATATCATTACCCTTAATATAATGTTTCCATATTCTAATTATTTCCTTTAATGTATTAGAATGGAAATATATGTTATTTGTTCTATATATTAGAAAGCCAAGAAATTGTCCATACTTTTGTATTACGTAATAATTTCATATCATAAATCATATGAAATTATTATAAGAATTGTTTTATAAATAATCTTTTTTTTTTATATACATGTAAATATTATGAATTGCTTTAAATCTGTTTTTCAATATATTGTAATAATATATGATAATTCAGAATATTTCTTGTATGTATGATTATGTTTAATTTGTCATTTTTATGAAATATTTTATTATAGTTTTGAAGAATTACTTGACTGTACATTTCAAACTTTGATAATTTGTAATTGTTCTTTATTCCTATTTCTTAAGATCTTGTAAATTTTTACATAACTCTTTTTGACACTAAAGTAGAGACAAGCTGTTAGGCTTTTAGCAAGTTTTTTTTGAAACCATAAAACATCTTGATTAACACAATTAAATGTAAATACTTTAGTTTGTATTAAATCTTTGTCCAAATGCCTGTGAGATTGAGCAACAGGAACAAGGGTGCTAAAGTGACAGACTAAGTAAATTACCTTCTGGACAAAGTGATAATCTATCATGTAAGAATTTCCTTTTTCTTTGTTTGACTGATTAAGCCATATTGTTTGCAAATGTAAAAACATATGGTGCTAAAAGCCTTGTAGGGCTCAATGTCATAATCTACCTGTATAAAAGTCAAGACGAAAATTAGCAAGTCACATAACGAAATTGTGACTGCTAAATAAAGTTGGAATTATTTCTTAAACTATCGTCTTACTTTTATATAGGTAAGTTCTCTTTCATTATTCTTTTCTTGTTTAAAGTAAATTTTTCATTTTACAATAAACTCTTGTTTAAAATAATTTTCATGTAGCAATATTGAATAGTAAATGTTTTTGTACATAGATATAATGAACATGAATTTTGTACATTCTATTATTTCTTTTAAGAAGAATTTTCAATTTATTTTGATATCATACATGAAGATAGATTTGTTTCAAGTAATGCAATTTACTGACTCTTTTTGATATACTTAACATAAGGTTTTAAAAGAAATGTTCATACTTAATCTTAAGACTTTAATTTTTGTTTTCATGCTTGTAAGTCAATCATTATAATCTTATCTTCATGGATGCTTTCCCTTGGTACTTCTTACTTGTTAAGCGAGTGTTTAAATAAAACAGCTTTTCCCCAAAATTAGTTGTTTTTGAAAAGTATAAAATTGTTCTATTAATATAGACTAATTTCCCAATAAAATAGTTTGTTAATTTGTTTTAAAACTTAAATATTTGAAAATGAAATATGTTCATTTAGTATGTACAATATTAGTTAATTAGTCAATTGTTTATTTTGTTTTAACTTTATGTTATTTCAATCTTATCTGTTTAATATACATAATTACATATGCATTGAAATTGTATTATTTTAATATTGATACACATTATGCGTAATACTGTATATTAATACACATAACGAAATTGTGACTGCTAAATAAAGTTGGAATTATTTCTTAAACTATCGTCTTACTTTTATATAGAGATACGGGTTAAAGAGTAACGCCCCAACGATTACGGCGTCACACATTGGTGGAGAATCCGGGTACGATTTTTCATTTTCCATGAGTGATCCCATCAACGCAAACCATTATTATCTGAGGTCAGGAGGAGAGCCGCCACAGCTTCCGCAGCCCAATCCGCCTCAGCCTAGAGATAACGAAGAAGATTCTGAAAGTGACAATTCACTACATCTCAGTGATATCAGTGCCATAACTACTGATACATTTATAGATCCTCCTGTGAACAATTTAAATTTAGAAATGGCTCACCGACTCGAGATGCCAAAATTTGATGGCTGCCCAGGCAGAAAGGCTGTTGACTGGTTTACACAGTATAACCGTTACTGTGATTTGTTAAATCTGGATGAAGAAAGGAAGGCCAAGATGATTCAATTCTTCCTCAGTGACCATGCCCTGGCATTCTATAACTCACTAGATGAGGAAACTAAGGATGATTATCCCACATTATGCGATGGATTAATTTCTCGATTTGATGGCAGTGACGGGACAGTAGAGCTATTAGATTTGCAGCAAAAACATGGTGAACCATCTTCATCATTTTTCACACGTGTGTTAAGTGCTACCAATCAGAGGGGTTGTCCTGAGCAGCTCCTCATTTCCATTGTTCTGAGAGGATTAAAACCGGAATTACGACAAATTGTTATGCCTCAAAATTTACAAACGGTTGAGGAACTTAGAAAGGCAACCCACTTGGCTGAGAGAACTCTTGGCTTTTCGAATACATCAAATGTGGCTGCCTTTACTGACATTCTGACTGCGCAAATTCAAGGACTTGCAGACAAAATTGCCAGTATGGAAAGTAGGACTTACCAGAGGCCACCTCAAAATAGCTGGACCCCCAGACCAAGGCATCCAGCTTACCAACATCAGGATCTGAGACGACATCAACCAGCACCATTTCCACACAAACCAGAACATTTCCCTTCTCCACTTAGACAGAATGGAACAGGATGTCAGCGTTGCGGGAATGGTAAGAAACATTCTTTAAATCAATGCAAAGCTAGAGATATAACTTGTAACCATTGTTTTAAAGTTGGCCATCTTTATCAATATTGTTTTAAACGTCTCAATGAAGAGGCAAATGGTAGCCATTAGGGGTGCGCGCCTGTCTGTAATATCATTACAGATGGGCACATGTCTGGTAAAACTGTAAATGTTAACAAAGACACCTTACAGATTAATAAAGACAAAAGGAGAAAAACTAGGTTAAAAAATTTAAAATTGAAGGATAAAACTTATCTAAAATCCTCTTTAAATGATGCTAACAGTGAAAACTCAAATTTAAGTGCTAAAATTGAAGAAAATAGCAATTTCCGGCCTCGTTCTACAGACAGTAAAACTTTAGAAAATAAAACTTTTACAAATTGTGCTAGTACTCAAACTCAACTTTCAGTAGGTGCTAATTATCAGACTAATGATGGTTCTACCCAGACTTCTGGATATAATTTAAATCATAAAAATTGCAAAAGTACTCAAGCTGAAAATGATAAAATAGGAAAGACTCAAAAGATAAGTAAGATTAATCAAAACACTGAAATCACTGATGATGTTGCAGAAAATGTTGTTTGTTTAACTGCTTCTTTTGTGAAAAACACTATGCATGTACAACTCAGAGAAAGGAAAATCCAAGCTTTAATTGATACAGGTGCCAATGTTAGCTGTATACAAAGATCTTTATTAGAAAAATTAATACCAAATTTTAATGATCAAATCATCCCTTCAAAAATACAACTTGTTAGAGGTGTAGGTGGTGAGTTGCATAGAGTAGATGGTGCCATAGTATTACCTATCCAAATTTCAGGCTTAGTGTTTGAACAAAAATTCATCATTCTAAACGAACTCCATCATCCAATAATCATAGGACTAGACTTTTTGACATATTACAAATGTGTTGTAGATTTTCAGCACAATTATGTAAGATTCACAACAACTGATATTTCGGTTGCCATGATACAAAGTAGTAAACTAGGCTATGCTAGGTGTAATAAACCCCAAGTCCTAAAAGCTAATTCTGAATCAATCATAGATGTCCGTATTTCTAAGAATCACAAAAATGAAACATTGTTACTTGAACCCTCTGAGAATCTCCAAGGAACAAATATTGTTGGTGCTAGGTGTTTAGTTACTACCAAAAATAGTAAGACTGTTATGAAATTGGCAAACCCAACTAATGAAGACATATACTTGTCAAAATCTGGCATACTTGCTAATGTTCATGCTGTTGTTGAAAATGATGTATTTTCTTTTGATGATGACAATTCCTTTGACTCTAGCACCAGCAATGTTTCAAATATAGATATTGATTCAAAAACTGATGACTATGTGCCTGATTTTATTGATGAAATTGAATTTGAAGTTAGTCATAAAAACCTTACAGTGGAACAAAATATGAAATTACAAAATCTTTTAATGAAAAACAAAGATGTTTTCTCCACTTCATTAGAAAATATTGGCAAAACTGGTTTATGTAAACATAAAATTGAAACATTCCCTGATGCTGTACCAGTTAGGTCAGCCCCTTATCGTCAAAACCCAGAAAAAAGAGCTGAAATTGAAAAACAAACCGATCAATTTTTAAAAGATAACATAGCTCAAAGGTCTACTAGTGTCTGGAATTCACCCGTAGTCTTGGTCAAGAAAAAAGATAATAGTTGGAGGTTTGCCGTTGATTACCGCAAACTAAATTTTATAACTAAGCCCATTTCACAGCCACTTCCGAGATTAGAAGATGTTTTTGACTCTCTTGGTGAAAGTAAAGCTACAATATTTTCTACTTTAGATTTAAACTCGGCATATTTCCAAATGGAACTTGACCCAGAAACGCGTGAAAAATCTGCATTTGTTACACACGAAGGTGTTTTTGAATTTCTTAGAATGCCGTTCGGACTTCGTAACGCGCCAATGAGTTTTCAATTACTTATGTCGCATGTCTTAAAGGGTCAAAATTGGAAATATGTACTTGTATATATTGATGACATTTTGGTGTTTTCAAAGGACTTTGATACTCATTTACATCATTTAAATGAGGTTTTTCAAAGATTAAGAGATGCCAACCTCACTTTGAAACCTTCAAAATGTAAATTTGGAGTCGACCAAGTAATGTTTTTAGGTCACATTTTGTCTGCCAAAGGAGTTCAAGTTGATCCTTCTAATACTGAAAAAATCAAAGATTTTCCTGTTCCTAGAACCAAAAAGTCTTTAAGGGGATTTCTTGGACTGTGCAATTATTACCGCAGATTTGTAAAAGATTTTGGAAAAATTTGTGTTCCATTAAATGCCTTATTAAAAAAGGAAGTTGGTGAAAAATTCTCACCAACTGACTGGTCTGAAAACTGTCAAAAGTCATTTGAAATTTTGAAAAGTGCACTTCTTTCACCCCCAATTATAAGATTTCCAGACATTAATAAAGAATTCATTTTGTCCACCGATGCTAGTGGTTCTGCAATTTCATATATATTAGGACAAAAGGATGAAGGAAATAAAGAATATGTAATTTGCTATGGGGGTCGTGCATTAAATTCTGATGAGAAAAAATGGGATGTCTATTCAAAAGAATGTCTTGCTATAGTCTGTGGGATAAATGCATATAAACATTATCTTTCAACTAATCACTTCACCATTTATACAGATAACCATGCATTAAAATGGCTAGCAAACAAAAAGGAACCTAGTGGTAAATTTGGTAGATGGAGCATTTTCTTACAAAGTTATGACTTTGAGATAATACATAAACCAGGTATTAAAAATGCCAATGCCGATGCAATATCACGAATTGATTATGACCAGTTGAATAAAACAAAAGAATCAAATAAAACTCAAAATATTCAAATTCAGGATATTAATTCTTGTAAGAACCTTCTAAATGAATCTGACGAGAAAAATAGCAACACCATATATACAAAAACATTCCAGTTTGAAAATGTAAATACTGTAAATGTTACCTGTACGAAAAATCAGCATGGCTTTTATGAAAAACAGGACCGATTCAGGCCTGTTTTGAACAAGAAATGGCAAAATCAGGGTGAAATAGACATGGACCCTGAATTTTCAAGAAATCTCACATGGGAATTCAAGTTTTTTCTACCCTGACATCGTCTTCATCTTGGTAAAAGTCAGGGTGGAAGCAAGAATATTTGCACTTTGAAAATATTTTGACACGGATTTTACTGACTTGGAGAAATATCAGCAAAATCTACCCAGATATTTCAAAGTTAGAAAATTTTCAAGAACCAGTTTCAATACAGTCTTAAAAGTTCTTCATTTCCAGCCTGATTTTTCTTAGTTAGAGTTATTAGAAATGAAATATTGTAATACACTCATAGTACAGTTTACATTGCTGTTCAGATAAAATTGAATTTTTAATTCAGAAGAAAATATATTATAATGTCTATTTCTGGAAAGTTTCAATTGATTTATGGTAAACTCCATTTAACAAAAATTCTTTTCATTTACTGAATTCTTCTTTTTTTTTTTTTTTTTTTTTGAAATTATGTAGATTATTTAGCTCAACATGATTTATTTTTATCTATAAAATTGATAATTGTTTTTAGTAATTGATTGTATTTATATTTAACCTATGTCAAACAATTTATTATTTAATGCATAAATTGGTCAGCAATAGTAATGTACAAGATTTTTAGTTCGTATCCATCATCTCACAATCTGTACAGAATCTCCTACTCTAAGGTCAGCTTCCAGTTTATATAAACAAATAACCTTAATGGAACTTTACCCAGTATTTCAAAATACCTAATGTTAAACTGGAAATAGAGAAGTTACCACAGATTGACCTACAGAAGTTTTAAGTCCAGAGCATTCCTAAGTTTAAGTCCTGAAAATTGTTTTTGCATCAAGGTCATTTTCTTAAGAAAGATTAGAGGTTTAAGTTGTGATTTTAATTCAAATAAATCAACTTACAATTATATATAAATGCATAAATGAGTTTTGATAATTACATAGAAAATGTGATTTAAGAATTCAATAACCCCAGCTATACAGAACTTTCTTGGGAAATTTATTGTGAAACTTGTATATAACATGGAGCATAATAGATGTGTTCAATTTGAAAAAAATGGAGGGAAATAAGCAGCCAATTGTAACAGATAAATGGTAAGTTTTAATTGAATTACAGTTCTTAATATTTTTAATTTTTCATAAAATTGTGAATTCTGTAAGCTCAGTATTCTGAAAAGATTTTAAATAAATTTCCAGGAAACCTGTTTTAAAATATGGAGGGAAAATGAAATCATTCTTAATTTTTCTAAATAAACTATACATTTTGATCATTTCATTAAAAAAAACTGAAGTCTTAAAATGTCATGATTGCATATTTGTTTTTTTCTACTTCCAAAATTTAGGTTGAAGCCAAATAGCTCAGTAACATGTGACAAGAGGATGAAGAAAAAGAAAATGGTGTAGTTGGAAAAAAAGAATACAGTAGAAGAAATATTACTGGTAATTTTTACTTTTTTCATTTTATATCAAAATTAGTTTCAGTTTTTATTATTAAAAGTATTCATCCCTGCAAATTTTATGGAATTAATGACTTTATGAAGTCAGTACAAATATGTTTATAATGCTGTTTCTTCTTTAAAATAATTTCATCAATCATTTGTTCTTGCAATTAATGAAATATTATACCTTTAAAACTACACTGTATGGACATATTTCTCTATATTAGGGTGTTACATTTTCTTTTAGATTAATACAGTATATATAAATTGAAAGTTGTCTATAGCATATTTTCGCACTGCTTTCATATGTTTACAGATTGTGTAGTCCAGATACTATAGTGTGGAATAATGTAATACAGTGTGCAGCTACCTAGTGGAAATATCAAGCAAGAATGACTTTTGAAATGTATTGAATTGTATGAAAATCAAATACAGATAAGTGAAAAAAAAATCTCAATTATTATTTTGTCAAATATCAAAAAGAACAGGAATCTGGGTGGATTTTTATTTTAATTTCAGGGTGGGATTTGCAAAAATTTGGGGCGGGATAATAACAGGAGGAAAAAAGTCTGGCCTGATTTTTTTAACAGAAATCAGGGTGAATTATGGCTCATTTAAATATTTCAAATTAATCCCACCCTGAAATTACTATTTATTTTACTAGAAGTAAATCTATTTTTAGAAAT